GCTGGTTGCGACCGGGAAGACGGATTGGGTGAGGGATGTTGCGGATGAAGAGGGGAGTGTTATGGAGGCGATTGAGAAGGGGGGGTTGGTGCCTAGCAATGGGGTATGATCTCACTGCCACTGTTGCAGTTTGTTATGTCCTGGCCGCGCGAAGCTAATCGGTGTGGGGTGGCTATGTCTAGAAACTGAAATTGTCCGCCTCCAATATGCCTGTCCCGGATGAATATCATTATCATGATGCGGGGAAACAACCTACGACTGTGTTGCTTCTGCCCAGGTTTACTATTGTGGACCATGTCACGCCGCAGCTGGCCCCGGATTTGATCAAGTATTTTGTGAATCGCTCGCCGACGACTACTACCCCGTTGGTTGGTGGAAACAGCAATGATGAAAGTGAACAACAACAACAGCAGCAGCCCTCGACTAAAGAACAACAACAACAAGAAAAAGAAGAAGAGAACATCACCGACATCAATTCCCTCACCTCCCTCCGCTCCCGTCCCTCCCCTCACTCCGCCGTCATCCTGCTCTGCTCCCACCGCACCCGCGACGCCCGCTGCGGACAGTCCGCTCCGCTCCTGCGCAAGGAATTCGAGCGCCATTTGCGCCATCTAGGCTTGTATCGGGACATGGATGATGAGAGGCCTGGAGGTGTGGGGATCTACTTTATCAACCATGTAGGTGGACATAAGTATGCGGCCAACGTGATTATTTATCGCAGACGGGACTTTGAGTGGTATAAGAAGACGGAAGGGACTGAGGAGGAAGAGGGCGCGGCGCAGGGTATCTGGCTTGCGAGGGTGAGACCCCAGGATTGTGAGAATATCGTGCGGTATACGGTGTTGCAAGGGAAGGTGGTTAAGCCTGGGGAGCAGTTGAGGGGTGGGTTCGATAGGGAGAGGGGGGTTACGAGTTGGTAACCTCGGACTCTTTCTCTCTTTCTTTGGGGTATATTATTGGTATATAAGAAAATATGGCGAGACAGAGTGAGAGGGTTTGTATAGGATTATCATAGAATGGGTATGGGTATGGGTATATACAAGGAACCAATCAATGAACATGCATGGGAATAAAACAGCTGCTTTACTCAGTCACTGCACGGTTTCACCGTAATAATTTCTCCCACTATAACCCGGCATTTGGCAGCTACTATTCCCTAAAAGAACTCCAGAACAATCACACAGACCACATCATACATCCATTAAGCATAACCCTCTCCATCCCCATCCCCATAACCCATCCCCATCCGACCCACGGAAAGTAACTACCCCATAAAAGGTAGCTTTCAAAGCTTCCCCCCAAAAGTCAAAAACAAGCTCTTCTCATTACCATCAACCTAGATTGAAGTCAACCAGGTAAACGCCCCCAAGCTACCTAATTTACTACACCTACACAGTATTTTACTTGTCACAACGTAAAATAAGTAACTTATTGACTAAGCTGTCATCTCGATTTAGTTTATAAACATGTACCTAGGTTGATTACGATCTTCTCCCCTTCACCGACCAACCATATTTGTCCTCGCTAATGCTTCCCGCATCGGGCTAAGATTGTCCCCCAATACGAGCGAAATTGATCAGCAGCAAGCAGTAGCAGCAGCAGTAGCGTAGCATCAGGCTATCATCTATCTATTACTTACTTTATCCACTTCGCTAAGAGGTGGTTGGCGGCGGAGAATTAGTAACCTAGTTAGTTTAGTTGGTTGGTTAGACTGCAGTAGGTTAGTTAGTTAACCAGTTAGTTGCTTGGTTATGTAAGTATGTAAGTATGTATGTGTATACAATAGTTAAGTGTTTTGGTATTGAAATACAGGTGTGGTGTGTATTGGTACGTGACGGTTTAATTCCTTTTTTCTGGGAGAGTAGTATCGATCTGTATACAGTATCTAAGTTACTTTGTTTTGATGAGGTTGAAGTGAATTTGACTGCTGTGTGATGGTTACACAGGGGAAAGTTCGTGTCACAAACACTAAGGAGACTATTGCTTGTGAATTGGAAATAGAGCTGCCTGGTTGTTGATCTGCTTCTGCTGATTGAGGAAGAAGGTGATGATCATCATCTGTGTACGCTGTCGATAGACAATACGATAGATAGTATAGTCTGATTGATATGCACTGCAGCATCTATACCAGCACAGCATGGGCCCATCAACTATCACCACCAGCAGCAGCAGATGGCATCTCCCTCTCTTCTTCCTCTACATTCTGTATACTACCCCACCACCACTACATATCCCAGCTCAATTGACTAACTAACTAACAACATCCAGCCTCCTCCACACTACAGGCCTATACCTCTTCACCAAAGGCTTCCTCCTCACACGTCAAGCCCTCGATTTGAAAAGCAATTGCTCCCATCCTCCCATTACCATCTCCATCACCACCAACACTACTACAACCTGCTGGACACCCCCCACCTTCACCAAAGCCATCATCCTCCTCATCGACGCCCTCCGCTACGACTTCACCATCCCCACCACCACCAACAACAAAACATACCACAACGCCCTTACCACCCTGCACACTACAGCCCTCACCACCCCCCACAATGCCCTCCTCTACCCCTTCATCGCCGACCCACCCACCACCACCCTCCAGCGCCTGAAAGCCCTCACGACCGGCACTCTGCCGACGTTCATCGAAGCAGGGTCCAATTTCGCCGGCTCAGCCGTCACAGAAGATAATCTGATATCGCAACTCCACGACGCAGGGAAACGTCTCGTCCTGTTGGGCGATGATACCTGGATGAAACTTTTCCCGGGATACTTTGACCCCATCCTGTCACGTCCATATGAATCATTTCTAGTGGAGGATTTACATACGGTTGATGATGGGGTGTATGAGCATTTGGTACCTTTGCTTAAAGGTAAAAATGGGGAGTGGGACGTGATCATCGCCCATTTCCTGGGTGTTGATCACGTCGGACATCGGTTTGGGCCGGGGCATGAGAGCATGAGGGAGAAGTTGGTTCAGATGGACGGGGTTATTAGGGAAGTTATGGAGAGGGTGGATGATGAGACGTTGCTGGTTGTTATGGGGGATCATGGGATGGATGAGAATGGGAATCATGGGGGTGAGGCGGCGGATGAGGTACGGGCTGCGTTGTGGTTGTATTCGACGAGGGAGGTTTGGGGGGTTGTTGATGGTGATGGCGTTACTGGTGTTGTGGGGAGAGATACGCCGCAGGTGGACTTTGTGAGCACGTTGGCGTTGTTGATGGGCGTGCCCGTGCCGTTTAGTAACTTGGGACGGCCGATTGAGGAGGCGTTTGTTGGGAGGGACGGGAGAGATTGGAGACGCTTGGTGGAGGTTAATGCGTTGGTTGGGGCGCAGATTCAGATGTTTACGGTTGAGTATCAGAGGTATGGATGGGAGGGGGTGGTTGGGTGGGATAGATGGTTTGATGGTGAGGTGGATTTTGAGAATGAGGAGGCTTTGAGAGAGTATTATCAGAGGTTGAGGGGGTATCAAGGGTGGATGCTAGAGGGGTATAAGCGTATGTGGGCTCAGTTTGATCCGCTGAAGATGGTTGAGGGGATGGTGGTTCTGTTGCTGAGTGTGGTGGTCCTGGTATGCCCCCAGGTGGATGGGAGGTCTGGCTTGATGAAATGGTCTGGGATAGTAGTGGGGATCTTGATGGGAGTTGTTGCTGTGGCTGGTCATGTTGCTTTGACTGACTTTGCTCAGGGTTCCCTCACGGATGAAGTGATTCTGGGCGCTGCCTTGGGCAGCGTCGTGTGGAATATGTGGCCGACTGGTTTGACTATCTTGCGCAGGTGCTTTCCGGGGGGGAGTTGGAGCTGGCAGGCTGTGATGTTCACACTAATTCTCGGCATCGGATTTGCGTCGAATTCCTACACCATCTGGGAGGACCGTGTGGTTTTGGTCTTTCTCTCGACATTTGGGCTATGCACTCTTGGCGCGTCAAACCATGCAAAAGGTGTACGTGAAGCGTCTTTCTCGGTGATATTCATGCTTCTGAGTCGAGTCGTCTCGCTCAGTCGGGCTTGTCGCGAAGAGCAACTGCCATTCTGCAGAACTTCATTCTATCGTTTGGAGAGCAGCTGGGTTTGGCAGTTATCAAGCCTGGTCATTACCGCCGTGGCTGTGTTATGCATTACTCGACTCGCTCTGCGAGACTGCGCGTCTGGAAACCTGTTCTGGTTTGGACTCGGCATACCAAGTGCGCTGCTGCTCACCACCGTCTTCAATGCCCTAGAAACAGCAAGTAACAACGGCTGGCTAGCAGGCCTTCTCACAGATGACACCTCCAAAACTCTGCGCATGACTGTTGCACGAATGGTGCTAGCCATTGTCTTCGTCGGCTTAGCAACTGCGTTCACAACCACTCCAAGACATAGGCCACTCGAACTGCCACTCATCTTCATGACAGCAATGCTGCTTGCAGGCATTCTCTCAAGCACACCCACAGGCGGACTCTCCTTGGCAATCCTCTACTACCAGCTCATCAGTCTCCGGCATCTCATCCCCGGTAACAGCTCCATCAAACCCACCATCGCGGCACTCCTCGGGACATTACACTTCTTCAGCACTGGTCATAACGCCACTTTATCTAGCATCCAATGGAAATCAGCCTACATCCCATCCCGAGATACACAGTATCCATGGTCGCCACTGCTGGTGACCATCAATACATTCGCCGCGCCAATCGTGGCAGCATGCGCTGTGCCTCTTCTCCACTCGGGAGAAAATCAGAGCCAAGCACGCTTCCTGGCCATTCATAGCACTGTATACACTGTCTGGGCTGTTTTTACGGCATTGTGGGCGTGTATCCTCCGCCGTCATCTGATGCTCTTTGCCATATTCTGTCCGAGATTTCTGATGGCTGGTGGGCTATTGGCCATTGTTGACGTTCTTGCTTTGGTGAATTCGATACTACTGACTACTGAGTTCGGCTTACACGTGGAAAAGAAGTGACATAAAGCAGCTCGATTTATTTAAAGAAGGACAATAGCTTGCGTTGACGTCAACGGAACGAGCACAATCAAATCAATCACTGTGTCTGGAGACTACCCGACAATCAATCAGCTGTGTATGGGGCAACACTAGCAGTAGTGAGCCCAGCAAGCCTACATGTTGTTAGAAAGTTTGTTACTGAGACGACAAAGAAGTTGGAGTTACCCGGAAGCAACGTTCACCTCCGTGGTGACGGTTGCAGTTCTACTCTTCGTTAGCTACCCGTCTTAACAACAAGATCTCATAGTCGAAGGAGATAGAAAAATAAAGAAAGGGAGACACACATCCATGCACTGTCTATATCCTGGCCGACAACGCTGCGCATCAGCCAGACCAGGGTCCTCAGACACTGCAGCGTCGACATCATTGTCTGCCTCTGCGGCCGGAGCAGCGATAGCCAGGGCGGCGAAGAAGAGGGTGAGAGGGATGGTGAAACGCATTTTGTCACTGCTTTGGTTTTAATTGTGATGCTTGAGGAAAGTGGTAGTGATGCTGATGTCGATACCCAAGGGAATAGGAGATCCAGGTGCTTTTATGCTCGAGATTCAGGTCTCGAGTTGTCTTTGTCCTTGATGGATACATTCCGATGTGGTACAGATTACATTTCTACTGTCCAGATAAGTTGGCAGCTGAGCATCTAGACTTCGAGATGAGGCCGGTATATGGATAGGATGAGCGATGTGGGCTTGGTTGTGAGAGGAGAGTTGTAAGCTTACTTTCGCTACTTTTTTCTTTTGGTGACTGACCCGCTCATGGTATGCGTTGAGATTGGGATTGAGCTGATATATACATACATACACTATAGAAATTAATGCACGGCAAGTATAGCAGCAGTATATATACACTGCCCTACAAACCATTCACACAGATCTTCAGATGGCAGGATACCCCAGACCGTTCAACGCTTCAACTTCAGCCTCGGCCTCGGACCAACGGCCCCTTATCAATCACCCTAATCGGAGAATATACAACACTCACACAAGGTAACACAGCCAGGTACTGAATACGACTCTTCCATGATCATGAGGAGCTTACCCCGTGGCGTGGGATTGCCATGGCGTGTAGAGGGGGTTGTGGAACAATAAGCTATCTATGTGTCTGTCGGATTGTGCCGTGCCGGTGAACCGATGGCATGCATTGGGTAGTTATGCTGTTGCTATAGGTATAGGTATAGGATGGATAGGTATGCATATAGACAATATGTTATGGAATAGCCACTACAGGGATGTGTATAGCTGCTCGATACCGAGAAGAGATAATTTCCGAGTGATCAGGTGAGTTGATCATGAGACCAGCTGAACATAATGATCTAAATTCGAAACACTATATGTATGAAATTGATTGACAACTGACATCGACATCCTAGTACTTAGTTGACTGCTACCCTTATACCTCTACTCACAAGTATCCCTACCCTACCACTACCCAGGAAACTTGACCTAGGATCTGATAGGTAGATATACTCCCTCATACAACCACCTGAAACATACCACCATCCATCCCCTTAAACAGCAGTACGCTGACATCGAAGTACGGAGTACTTCCCAAATATGAGCACCTACGGGAAAAAAAGAAAAGATACAGCACAACCCCCCCACACCCATGTCAACCAGCACTAGCTACTTAGTTAGTAGTCTACCCCATGCAAGCATCCTCATGCAAGGTACTTTTGTCCCCATCCATGTCCAGTGGAAATTCAACCCAACATATGACACTGATTGATTGATTGATGGCGTGGTATGTTATAATTCGGTATTATATGACAATCAGTCAATCAACTATGAACTAATTGTGTAGACTGAAGTAGGTATAAGTATTGTATGGTCGCTACGTGTACAATCTATCTATATCCTTGTTGATTGCGCTGTGCTACTCTGGGATTGGTTGGTTCGTGTATTAGGCCGGATGGATGTGTTTGAGTGGTTGTCTCAATTTTGGTCTGTCTGCTTGTCTGTCGGTGGGTTAGTGGGTGAGTGAGTGGGTACTATGGGGTGACTGATAACTTTGGAGGAGACTGTGGGGTATATGCTGGTACTTTTGATGAATGTATGAGGCTTTTATGGATAGTTTTCTTATTCTACTTTCTTTCTTTCCATATGATTTTAGGGTATTCTTTTGTATTCTACCACGTTATGTACCTAATGAGTAAGGTATAATGTTTATCCACTACCACAACCACCACCACAGCACAACCCAATCCATAAGCAATGATGGTAGTGGTGGTGGTGGTGGTGGTGGCTTGATTGCTTATGCCAGCCGTGTGAGTGGTATGGTGTGCCACCACCACGACCAGACACATGAAGAACCCGATATTTCCCCGACAAGCTACTACTTACTTACTGTCTTCCTGTTTGATCAACATCATGATTGGTAGATCGATAAGGAAAAAGCAACCCCATCACATCATCATCACATTTACTTGTATTCCTGTCGCAATGTTTTTACTTTCTTGGGCTGTCATCCTCATCATCCCACAGATAAGTCAGTAAGTAGTGATAAGTAGTATCTATTTATATGTATATTACCATACATACATACATATATATACTTTACAAATACAAGTAATGTGTAATACACCATGTATGTTATATTACATGTATGTATCTATGTATCAATCATCTCATCTCATCTCATCCATGTCATTTCCATCTCTAAGCGAAGTGCAGTGCAGTGCAGTATGATATCACGAAACCAAACCAAACCAAACCTAGACTTACTACCTATCCAGACTATCTTTATCTTTTCCAATGTTATGAGTAGAACAGTGAGGTAAGTCATACCCTACTGTTACACTCAGTCACTAGTTACTAAGTATACTATACTAGTATAGTATTAGTAACCAGATAGGCGACGGATTGACGATCACAACAAAGAATGAGTTAAGTTCCGTCGGCAATCAGACTTATTTTGGGAAATGAGTTGAGTTGACACTTAAGTAGTTAGCATAGTAGCTAACTCTAGACTTTGGATTTGGATTTGGATTTCCGATTGTTCGATTAAGTGCTAGTTAGCTAAGGAAGGATTGTGGATCCGGCAGTCGTAAGACAATATACTAGTTATAGTTATCTACTTTAGCTTACTACATACAATCAATATGTTACTACTTACGGAGTACTAACTGAGAAATACTCAAACAATTGAACTCATAGCATAGAAAGTAGCTATTATTGGATCCAATTATCCTCAGTCATGTCATATCATCCTGTCATGTTCAATTCTAATCCACAACAAACTGCCCTACTACTAACTTATAACCAACTAACTACCTAATTGGATAAACTACGGAATAATTAAATAACTAACGAGACAAGGCAACCCCCGCAGCCTGCCTTCCTTTCTATCTTCATTTTTTTCTTCCCCACAGCCCATCCATCTAGACTCTTTCCTCTCCCTCTTGCTCATCATCCCCAACACGAGATCCATCATCTCACCCAGATGACACACGCACACGCAGGAATGAAAGTGGATTTCCAAGTTTAACTAATTAAAACTAAAACAAAAGAGACGGTCGATCACAGCCCGTCTGTCCATCACATCTATCTATGTCAGACTCAGAGACCAGACCAGACCGAAACTTCTTCCCTGTCACACGGAAATGATATCCATATTGACCGTGATTCATTCATTCCTACTTTCTGCAGCATTTCCAACTTCCAACTTCCAAGTTTCTTCCTAACCTAATAGATAGATAGTAAATAAATATCGGACTAAATCCGATCAGGTACAAACATTCCGTCCATACAAACGGCATTGAACCAGAAAAGATGCTTCCTTAGCTTAAACTTCAAATCATAATCAATCAATCTTTACTGGAATCATTATCATCATCGTATATCTCCTCCTCCTCCCCCTTCTCCACTTTAAATTCATTCCCTTTTCTGTCTACCTGTCTGGCTGGCGCTTACACCCGACCAACCGACCGGTCGGTCAAATCGCCGCATTTCTCCATTTCTGTCTCCATCGCCATCCCCATCCCCATCCTATGCTAAACCAAACCCAGTTATTGATCAAACTCGGGCCCAACTAAATAACCAACTAAACTAAATAATAAATCTAGTCTAGTCTAGTCTAGTCTAATACAGTACATACTTCCGCCCCCTCTCCCCCCCGGGCTAGATTACTTACTAGTAGTAGCTCTAGTCTAGTGCCAGTCACACTACACAACAACAACAAACAAACACAGAAAAAAACCAGTTTTTCTGTTCTCTCCTGTTCCCACACCCCCCTAATCTAACTACTTACTACTTACTACTACTACCCTAAAACCAAAGGTCTCGGATTCTTTATCCCCGAGAATATGATTGATTCAATTTAACTAAACTAATAATACCCTTGTTTCTTTCGGGTCGGAGAGGTCCGTCCGTCCGGTTCTGCCCGTTGTGATGGGCATGGGCATCATATTCCTATCATATCTTACCGATCGGATCCGCTTTTCTTTCTTTCTTTCTTTCTTTCTTTCTTTCTTTCTTTCTTTCCTATTGTTATGTTCTATGTCTGTCTGGGATCAGATACCACGACATAACAAAAAAATAAAAAGTTTGGTGGACGCGTAAGTACATAGCCAAGAAAAAAAAACAACAAAGCCAAAAGATATCACAGCCATTCCCTTTTCATGTACGTAGTAAGAGAAAAGAAAAAAAAATATCCAAACTTGGCGCATGCATGTTATGTACAGTCGATCGAAAAGCGACCACAAACGCAGGTGCCAGGGTCATCGAATCAATCGTAGTCTTTTGCTCTTCTCTTTTTTCTCTCTCATACACACGCACTTCTCGCCCTAACTACGGTAGACTTAGACTTAGACTGGTGTGTGTGTGGTCGTTCGGCCCACCTGCACCTTACCAAAAAGCTCCCTGTCTAGCCGCACCCCCTCCTCTCTGCCTCTGTCCCTCCCTCTCGTGTATTCCTTCCCTCACACACACACCCCAGACCAGACCAAACCATATGGGTGGGCGCTGGATGGGGGTCGATCAGGCGCTACGACAGTCGTGGCTTAACTAGATAGACTTCAACCCCATGACTGGTTGGTCTTTGCTGCTACAAGCGCCATCGACGTGTGGAGCCTCTTCCCTTCCTTCCTTCCCTTTTTCCATCCCCCAACCGTTTCAGCCGTCGATCCTTGGCTGACGTTGGTCTGGTAGGGTCTTAAGGAAGCTCCTGACAGGCTAGGAGCTTCCTAGAACAATGGCCCGACAACAATGGGCGCCCCCATGTTTCCCTTTTTTTCCCTCCGAGCCGAGCCAAGCCAAGCAGGCACTACTTACTTCCTCGGTCCATAGCATCCTTGTCAGCACGGCTTTGTTTCTCTGGTAGGTGCTGATCGACGGCCTACGTCGCGCGCGCCGTCAGCGTCACTGGAAAAGAGTACTCCGAAGAGGGAAGGCATTATTAAAAGCTTCGGAAATAAGTACATACACCCATGTTCTGTATCCGTGCCCGTCAGCTCGCAGCTGCCCAGCACGTCATTCAGACCCAAAGCGAACGTATAGGCTATGCTGGTATAGAAAAGCAAATTGCATCATTTGCCAAGGTATCAAGAATATGACAAAAAATAAAACCTCTTCGCAGCCTTTTGACAGAGGAGGGGGCGCAACTTAATCAAAGGAAACATCATAATCCGCAAAGGATCACAAAAGGCGTTATGCCGTAGATGAAGAAAATAAAGAAATAGCAGCGGATGAGGCGTCTGACCAAATTAAGGACTCGTAAATGACAGTCATGATAGGGCATCACTCAAAGCACAAACGCATTGTAACTCCTAGTTTGAAACACTCGCTGTCGAATCATGCAAAGGCACTCGTCGGCTCATTAGCCCACCCCCAGGAAGCCCCAGTCCGTTCCCTCGGGCTGGTTCAGGATGCGGGCCGGCGGCTTGTAGTCACTGTGAGTGCTGGTCACCATCAGCGGTGGGCCTTCCGCTGTGGGTAGGGTATGGTATGGTTGCTGAAACTCCGGTGGCAGATAGCCCTGACGGCCAGGATCGTATCGTTGCTGCTGCTGCTGCTGTTGCTGCACAAGCTGCATGTAGTGTTGCTGAGCACGCTGTACGTCAACCGGCGACGTGACAGGGATGTGCTGAGTCACGATTGGTGGCTGTTCTTGTATGGGCACCGGCGTTATGTGTAGGCTCTGGTGGGGATAAAACTCATGAGTCGGCGTCGGGGTATGAGGGTAGTAGGGTTGCTGGGCTAAGAGATACTGTTCATTCGGCACAGGAACGGCGACTGGCCCTTGATACGAGTGCTCGGAAACCGCATCTTCCGAGGGCAGTCGGGTCATGGATCCTGGGGGGTGGGAGCGGTGTTGGTGTTTGGTCAAGGTCGTTTTGCGGCAGAAGCTTCACGTTGTTAGAAAGACATTAGTACGAGAACCAGGCCAATGCTTACGCTCGTTCGCACGTTGGCTC